CCGGCTCGGGTGCCCCCTTCCTCCTGCCCTCGCCCGCTCCAGGCGACACGCTGAGAGATGGACTTGGCAGGCGTGCTGCTGGCGTTGCTCCTCGTGCTGGTGCTGGTTGTCTCGCTGCTCTCCAACCTCCTGGTGCTGCTATGCTTCGTCTACAGTACGGAGATCCGCAAGCAGGTCGCCGGGGTTTTCCTGGTGAACTTATCTTTTTGCAACCTGCTCCTCACCGTCCTGAACATGCCTTTTACCCTGCTGGGGATCCTGAGGAGCCAGCAACCCCTCGGGGGCTGCATCTGCAAAGCGGTGGGTTTCCTGGAAACTTTCCTGACTTCCAACACAATGCTGAGCATGGCAGCGCTCAGCATCGACAAATGGATTGCTGTGGTGTTCCCCTTAAGCTACACCAGCAAGATGCGGTATAAGGACGCTGTGATACTGATGGGCTACTCGTGGCTCCATTCCCTCACGTTCCCCTTGGTATCCTTGTTTTACTCGTGGGTAGATTACAGCAGCGTTTATGCATCTTGCACCTTGCACCTGAAGGAAGAGACGGAGCGGAGAAGGTTTACAGTGTTCACCATCGTCTTTCACTCCACCAGTTTCATGCTGTCACTGGTGATCTTGTGTTTCACCTATTTAAAGGTGCTGAAAGTTGCCAGGTTCCACTGCAAGCGGATAGACATTATTACCATGCAGACTCTGGTTTTGCTGGTGGATATCCACCCCAGGTAATGCGTGTGTGTTCGTATTCACAGCCCTGGGGCACTTGCGGTAGGTACCCCGGGTGGAGAGGATGTCCTGCCTCCCTGAGACCCTTCCCTGCGTTTTTTCTGCCGGCCCCAGCCACACGGCGAATGCTTCTGCCACTAGTTTCAAACGCTGCTTATAGTGCCAGAAGACGGTGACTTTGTGCATTTGTATCCTGCTTTGTTTAAATGTTAGTCCCGCTCGCCGGGTGCTCCCACTTGCCCGAGCTTCCTTTAACAAGGAGCCGCTGCCAGGCTCGGCGGGGCCGGGGTTGCCCCCCTCTCCCCTCCCCAGAGATCTGCGTCCCTCCGGGGCCGGGGCTGCCCCCTTCTCCCCTACCCAGGGAACTGCCTCCCTCCGGGGCGGGGGCTGCCCCCTCTCCCTTCCCCAGGGAGCTGCCCCCCTCTCCCCTCCCCAGGGAGCTGCCCCCCTCAGGGGCCGGGACTGCCCCCTCTCCCTTCCTCAGGGAGCTGCCCCTCCCGGGCTGGCGCAAGGGTCTCCCTGCCCTCCCCCGGGCCAGGGGCTGCCGGGTGGGGAGCGAGCCCTTCGCCCTTCCCCTCTTCCCCGGCTCCCATCTCGCCGCCCGGGCTCACCCGTGCTCTTTTCCCTCCGCAGTGTGAAGCAGCGCTGTCTTAATGAGCAGAAACGGAGGCGGCAGCGGGCTACCAAGAAAATCAGTATTTTTATAGGGTCGTTCGTGATCTGTTTTGGTCCTTACATTATCACCAGGTTAGTATTGCTTGTTGGGGTGAGGGACTTTCCAGGACCGGTGTGTTCTCTGAAGTGCGGGGAGAAGTGGGGGCTCCAGGTAATTTTGGGATGCCAGAGCCTGACGGAGCTCCGGGGCCGGTTTTGAGGGGCAGGGCACACACGCACACATATTCACACTCACACGCCGGCCCCAAGCCTCGGCAGCCTCTGGCTCTCCTGCCCTCGTTGCAGCCAGGACTGGGCACCTCTGCCAAGAGCAAGAGGCTCTTCGGCCAAGTACCAGGAGTTAATTACCCGCCAGTGGGGGATGAAAGGAGTTTAAAAGACTCTCCACCCTTCCCTATTAGCACGATCTGAGCAACAGAGAGGAAAGTAGACAGCTTCTCCTGATCACCTCAGCTCTTTTTTATTTATTTATTTTTTCTTAAAGACAAAAGGCCAAGCTTGCTGCTATTGGAAGCTTGGGTGATATAATTTAAATTTTTTCCAGGCTGATAATTTGTTAGATAAACGTTGTGTCTGGAAACATTGATGTCTGTAAATATCTTGCTAATGATGCAGCATGGCCTTGTGGTGAGGTATGAGTTATCTCCCAGGAAAACCAATACTTGAACTTTTCAAATGTATAGGAAACACCATTCTCCTCAACTGGCCAGAATTGTTGGCATCCACCCTGGTCGACTGCACTTTTTTAGGTAGTCAAGCATTATTCTCGTTGTGTACTTGTATAGTCTTTATACAGCATATGGTTAATATTAATAATTATTATTAATAATCTTGCATAAATCAGTGAGCTGGAAGCCAGTGTAACTATATGGAATTGCAGCACCTCAGGATTTGGCCTTTCTTCTCTAAACTACATGGGCTACATTTTTTCACAAGTGTTTTTTTTAAAAATACTTCTCACTTCACGGTGTGTTCCAGATACCCTTGAAGAGTACTGACTTCTGTCAACAAAGGTGCACTACTCTGCAAAACCACCCTGGTGAGGGCTTCCTCAAGGTTGCTACTAAGCTGCCAGGGTCCTGTAACCACACCAGCTTACAGAAATCAGCCAGCTTTAGCACACTAATCTTACACAGTCACAGATATATACATATTTCCCATTTATGATCTTTGTCATTGCCTTTTTCTTACATGGGTAAGATTTAGGCCAGTGCACGAAACTGGCTGTTTTTTAACCTTTAGGAACAGATTTATTTCAGTTCTCACTTGCATGTTGAAAGGGATTCCTGACTGATTGCCTGGATAACTGCAGTTTCTTTCTCCATTACACTAACCGAGTTAAAAGGTTAATTGATCACTGTTCAGTACATCCTGAGTCACTTTTTATTCACTTTTGCCATGATCAGGATATAATTATATTGAGCAAAGTGGATTTTGCCACCTTCTTTCTATCTGAACATTACCAAGCTCAGCACATTCCAACATTGCCACATTTTCCAGGGTGGAGATATTTCTCATAAGCTTCCAAAATAAAAGCAACTTCCTTCTTCAGACCTTGCATTTGGCAAATGTGAGGTGGTGCATTTTCTATGTGTGACAAACTGGTACCTCATGTGTCACTAGAGAGAAGACTGAGGGTTGATTTATGTAAATGTTTGTGTCAAGGTGCAGCTTCCGTCTCAGTCACGAGGACCTAGTTCGTTCAGTGACAGCAAAATGGGAAGTATCTGGGGAGGACATCCTCAAAGGCTCTTCACCCCAAAGGCAAGACAGTGTTCAAGCAGCACTAGATCAAAGGTGGAGGTGGAGGTGATATTGGAGGACTTGCTGCCATGCCCATTTCTCCACTCTTCATCCATTCTATTTTTTAGGGGGCTGGCACTGAAGCAATCTCAGTGGAGGCAATGTGAAAGATATCCTCCTTGTTTTCTTGCTCTTTGGTCTGGTGACTCAGGTTGCATTGTGAGCTCAGTATTTGCTCCTCATTTCAGAAACATGAATGAGATTATGATCATTAGCAATATATTCATCTGTTCACTAAGAGCCGACAGATGAATTTCATCCTTTTTGTAACAGCACTGAAAACAAGAAAATGGTACTAAGATGCATTCAGATGGATATTTCTAAGGCTTACTTGATTTGGTCAAGTCTTTTATCTTATTAAAATCTGTGTAATTTTTCTTCTGTTGGCTTCAGTGCAATTATATTTGGGCCCCTTATACATTAAAGGGAACACACAGTAATACAACTCTTTTCATGACTGAAAGACACCTTACTTTTCTTAATTTGTGTCTTTACAAAAACATAAATCATCTAAATACCAAATGTATATTTCTTGTACTAGGATGACATCCACAATGCTATAAACCTAAGCAACCATGCAGCAAGTGTCATTGTTTGCACATTTATTTATTTCTCTCATTTGGTGTCTTCCTGTTCTCTCTGTTTTGAATTCACTGGAATTTTTTCCTGACAGCTTCAAACAGAAGTCATCTGGTTTTTCAATGCACTTTCCATAGGAACAATTTCACTGTTATGCATACAAATGAGTAATTTTTCTGTCAGAGTTCAACCACTTGTTGCAATGTTCAGTCCTAGTCGTTTTAAGTTGATTTTTCTGGGCGGAAGGACCAGAACAGCTTCAAAAGCCAATGCCCTGCAAGCTGGGAGCTCTGCACCTTGGAAAGAGGTCAGAAGGTTCTTCAAGCCTTAAGAAAGCTTCAGATCTTACATGTTCATGTGATCAATGTGATGTTTCAGGGTACAGAAAAGGGCTACTTTATCTCATGGTACTTTTTTTTTCTTCAGGAATGAATATAGCAAACTAGTATTTTCTTACTCCTGCAAAAGGTTTTACAAAAGATGTACAGGTAATAAAAACAACTCACCCTGTTCTTTGCACTTTCCTGGAGAGTTTACCCGCTGCAGATGAGCTGTATGCCAGGCATTTGCTGGAACAGTCTGAAGTTTTGCTCTCAATTCTGTGGAAAAAATGTTTAATTTAGTTGCAGTTTCTCGCCCCATGATTAATACACCCATCTCAGCTGAGGTGCTGAGGCCACTAATCATCCGTGAAGCACAGACGAGGAGACACAGGTCTGGAGACAGCTGATTGGTCCTATAATGATGACAAAAGTGTTGTCTCCTTGTTTTCTCTGGCCAAACTAGCAGTTTGTGTATGTAGAAACTTGCACAGGTAAGTAGATGCAGTTGCGCTCCTAAGCACACTATGGGATTTCAGGTACTACTCAAATCTCTCTGAGATACTGCTGTGTTGATCTTCATACTACAATGGTCTAACATGAATCCTGTTTTCATACGTGATGATTCACAGCAGTGGTGTAATGCAGGTTCACTATTCTGCATCTAAGAGAATGGATTCAGTGATCTAGACCAGGTTTCTGGTGTCATTTGAGATGCTGCATAGTATCCAAAACTTCTGCATAGGTTGGCAGATATGACACAGGACCTAGGGGAAGCCCACAACTTTCAGGAGCAGCAGCCTGAATCCAAAGGGGTTATGCCAAAATGTCTCAAGAGTCACTAGACAGCTATACTTATGCAACTGAGTTGAGTGAGCCTGGATGCCCCAAGTCACATCTGTCTATCTTAAGCTTGCCATGGGAGAGAAGTAGTCAATATTGTCATCAAGATTTTGACCACTTACCAGCAGAACTCTCTAAATACAGAAAGCGGGCAATAAACTGCAGCACTTTCTTATCTCGGATGCATAGGAGCATGAACATTGAAAACACATGTCTCTCTTTCCATAGAGGGAATGATTCTTGTCTCCCAGTGGTCTTGCTAAGAAAGTTCCCATTGCCTTTATTGAATCCAAGGAGTAAGCAAGTACAGGGTGGGCTCTTCTCCTTCAGGGATCATGTACTGTAAGAAAATAAGTGTTACTTTAATGTTTCATGAAGTGTGAGTTGAGCACTGGGCTCAGTGTAAATATAACACTCAAGTGTTTCCATCTCTCTTTAATGTTTAACAGGTTGATAGAGCTCCTTCCTTTTGTTACTATAAATTACTACTGGGGAATTATAAGCAAGTGCCTCACCTACAGTAAGGCTGCATCAGATCCATTTGTTTATTCACTTTTACGTCAACAGTACAAAAAAGTTCTGATCAACATCGTCAATAGGATGCTTAAAAGGGACCTGTATCCATCATCAGGGTACAACAGCTCTCTGGACACTGAAAATGATTACTGCTTGCACAGAACAAACTAAACGACGTGAAAATCATTCCCCTTGGAGTGAATCAGGTGTTTGCTGCTACTGGAAAGCTGCCTTTTCCCTCTCATGCTGACAGTGGTGACGGCATCTCCAGAGTGTGAAAGCTGCACTAAAGTGATGCATTTCATTGTGCACTTCCCTGAAAGGCTCTTCCCTGGTCTGCAGCCAAGTACAATATATGGCAAAGCCTTGTCCCTGGGTGAGTGGAATAGGCTTGAGGGGTTTTAAGAGACCCTTTGGAGGCTTTAGAGAAGATCGGAGAGCTTTTAATGTTTCATGTCTGAAGACTTGGTATGTCTTGGAGTGTTCTACATCAGACGTGACATTCCAGTGTCTTCTGGGACCACAAGTTGGAAGGAGAGTTTCAGAGTCCTCTGTGCTGCACATGTAACTTGGCAGTCCAGGATCTGCTCTGTTTTGAACATTACAGAGAAGTCTTTTAACTGATCAGTTCATTGTATTGGTGCCTCAAGTGAGTCAGCACTTTGAATCTGAGATTGTTGTTATTATTTATTATTAGACATCATGATTGTAACATAGCCTTTAGAAAGTGGTACATATATTTGATATGCCAGTATTCTATCTAGCATAACCAAAGTCCACATATCTGAGTTACTAATATTTAGCACTTCAGTGGTATGTGATTACAATAATTGCGGCAACAGTAATGAAGACATACGTGGAATTTAGTTAAATAGCACTGTAGTTCCATCCCTGAGCTAGTAGTCCTATTCAGAAAAGCTTTTATTAAAAAAAATCAGTTAGACAGTAGAAGTGTCAGATGCCACGTTGTTTAAGATATATTACTTCAGAAGCTATCTGTTTTTGAAGAGCAGGCTAAAATATGTTAATTCTTTTTGAGGGATATATAATGTATAAAATATTTCATGCATTGGCTATTTTGGGTGGATCGTAATAATACTGTAGAATCTTTTCTTTTATAATAACCAATTAATCTGGTGATTTTAACTGACACAAAGAGATGTCTGAGAGATATTATAACTGCCAAACGCCCAGAAACACAAAGCTGCTTTATTAATATATGTATTTTTCTCTTTTATTTATTTTAAAATCTAAACAGTCTTTGAAAAAATCTGAGAGTTATTTTTGAACAATATTCCTTTGATTGTATAAGACAAGAATCAAAATATTCTATGGCATTCAATAAGCTACTATTTTCTAATCGAGTACATAAAGGAAAAATTAAAGCAATTCTAAAATATATTTTAGGGGGAAAAAAAAGGAAAGAAGACAGTAAAGAACACTTATTTTTTATGTAACAATGGACTTGACCCTGTTAAGCATTGAGAAGGCTATTTCTGGTCAAACTATGCACATAAGCATGTGATTAGGCACAAAAATAATTTCCTTTGAAGTTAACAGCTCTGCTCCCATGCTGAAAATTAAGTACACAGTTGACTGTTTTGTAACATCAGTGTTGAGGAGTCCCCACATTGAGAGGGTTTTTCCAACCATCCACGGTGAGGAAGGAGAGCATCTTATTGCAATCCCATTGAAGTGAAGGAAAGGTGATGCTGTGTAACAAATACGATGTTCCCTTATCTCCTGCTTTTAATCTCTGAGGCCTTTCTGATATGCGCCCCCCTTCTCCCCCCCCTTGCAAGTACCTTATGCCTCTGTGTTTTGCATCTATAATTCTGCCTGTGTTTCAATTGAATGTACTACAATGGTTTTGTCTTCGTAAAGTATTTGTACTCTCTCCGATTTTGTGTAAATACAGTATTTCAGAAAAAAAAAAAAAAAAAAAAAGTTGTTTATGGAATCTTTCCAGTTTTATTATCTTCCTATTTGCCTTCACATGCCTCTTCCCTCTGTCGTGTCACTACAAAAGCCTGATGCTTCAGTTTTTCATTTCAGCTGCAACATAAGGACCAGATAGCTCTGTGGGGGGTGGGAGGGATGCTAAATTTTCCTTTACTTTTTAGACAGTTTTGTGCCAAGTTTTGATATTCACAGATAAATGCTGTATTTTAAACTTGAATTTAATGACATATAAAACTGTTAGCTTACCTTCAGAGTCCTAGGCAAAATGGTGCTCACTTTACAGAAGAATTATGTTACATATAGTTAAATACATTAAACTGTCACTTCCAAGATATACAAATGAAATAAATCTTTACTTTGATTTTTTTTTCTCTCTTCGTATCAAGAAAATAGTAGAGGAGAAAAAATAACAATAAACTTTAAAGCTATGACAGTAATAAACTTCTAGAGCTATTAAACTATAAGGCAAATTTAAAAGGTATAAACCAGAACATAGTTAAACTGCTACAACTTTTATTCAGTTAATTAATGAAGCTTACTGATTCCAGTTGAGGGTGTTGTCATGAACACACTACAATACCACTCAACCTCATAAAGCATTGAGCATTTCTGGAGGTGCTCATGTCTAGAAGGAAGAAAAGACAAAAAAATATTTTGAGCCTGTGCTTGTTGTTGCAAAACATCTTTTAGATTTAATTTCCTTAGAAAATTAGGAAGCTAAGGTCTACAGTACACTGTAGACCAGAAACTAAGGAAGGGTCTAAGGAAGTCCTCTCAGTCTTGATTTGCAATTAAGTCTAGCTGTTTTATTTACCAAAAGACACCTTCCTCTGCTCACTACGCACAGAGAGTTCTGCAGGTAAATTTTATTTTCTCCCTCATTCTTGCTACCCACACCCTGCCAGAGAAGGGCTTGCTCTATCTTTTTTTACCCAATCAGGAAACATTCAGGGGGAGCTCTCAGTTTCACTCTCCCAGGTTCCTGATGTAAGCAAAACTCTTGTTAAATTGGTGCTTCATTCACCACACTCTGGGTTGTTCAGGGACAGAAGGAAACCACATTTTGCCCCTATTTTTGGGGACTCTCCAAATAGGATCAAAGGATTTAGTGCTATATTAGAGATGAGAGCATTTATCCTACATGATGGGAGAATTCACCAGAGGTGGCAAGACTGTGGATTCTCTCTTACTGATATTTTAGATAAAACAAACAATAGATACATGGTCCTGACAGTAGGGTTTGGTCTGGATCAGAAAATTTTCAGCAAAGCTGAAATGCGACATCCCAAATGCCATTTTGCCACCGACACGCTCTTGCCAAGTCGGAGGTAGTGCTTCAGGAAAGTTTTTCTGTACTTCCTGCTAATGGCCTGGAGTGGCTTTTGCTAGGGGACAAGAGACAGGCAAACACCTGGCAGGTGTGTTGTGGAATTGGAAATACCACGTGGAACTGCCTGATCCTATGACCTCTCAGGCAGAAGGAGCTGTCACCCACCTGTGGCTGCTTAGGGAAAACAATGGGAAGGTGTTACAACAGTGTGCAAGAGGAGAAGCTCCTCAGAGTAGTAGGGCACAAAAAAAAGCTCCTGGGTTGTGCTTTTTCAGCTCCTGGTTGCATTTTGAATCACCAAAAAGTCCTTTTCTCTTCTACAAACTTGTATTTTAGCTGCAGAGTCTGGAGTTGAGAACAACACCTTCCCTGGGTGGAATCATCCTCCTAATTGGCAGTCAGAGTACAAACTGCAGCACAAAACCCCTTTAATTAGTCCATGCAAATATGGACACATTCAACTTCAATCTTTTTTTGTTAACACACCTCTGTCAAAGTATTTCCAAGCCTGATGATTTGGATATTTTCTAGTGAGATCCAGGACAGAGATTTGAATTTGCATTTTCAGAGGAGAGAAGTGAATTGCATGCCACATTTCCTAGGTGAGTGCTCTGATGTTTATTTATGACAAGAGTCACCTCTTCCACAGAAATTAATGTTTTGGTTTTTTTTTTTGCCTAGCACCTAAGCTGGAGGTAAACTCTGAGACTGACAGTCAGACCATATTTTTGAGGCAATAAATGTGAAGTAGTTCTTAGATTACAGATTCCCAGAGGTTTAGGTACCAGCTGGATCCCAGCCTGCTAAATCCTGACAAGATGGGTATACTTCAGTCTGATTGCAAAAAAAAAAAAAAAAAAAAAACCAAACCAAAACATCTAGCTTTCTTGTGCAATGCTGAAAACTTACGTGTCTCTGAGCTTGGCTGGCAGCTGAGCAATGAGGACCTTGGGTTCTGTGACTTTTCACTCTAGAAATTTATTAGCCTCACTGAAGAGCAAGCACGGTATTCATCTGGGGAAATCAGCACCTAATAAACTTCTGCAAATAATCTGTGCAGCTCAGTGATTACTGAATACATATTTACCCTCTCTTAAAATAAATAATGCTGAACTTAAATTTCAGAGCTAATTGCAATATTTGGCTTATTACATAGTCAAGCATGTGGCAACCAAAGAACCAAAGTTCTTTGATGCAAGTGCTCTTATATGATCAGAGAGTGATCATGCTCTTTACAACTATGGGTTAAAACTTGAGCTCTTTGAGAAATTTAGAAGCATTGAGTCTTTTTGAATAAAATTACTTGTAACAAGATGTTCAAACTTACCTAGGTAAAGTGCTTAAAAAACCTAAACAAACAAAGAACAATAGAAAAAACAAAACCCAGACTGAAGAGAACTATCCTGCATGAGTGGGCAGGTTTGACATCATCTGGAGGACATATTTTCTCTTGTTGTTAGGTCTTTTGTTTCCCTAAAATAATTATGGGCACTCGTGCATGCAGAATGAACAAGTAACTGTGTCTGTCTCAAAAGCACATAGCATGTTTCAGGACTGTGAAGAGCAAATGGCTTGTTCAGACTAGTTCAGAAGGACACCTGGTTAGTAGGAGGTGTTAATTACACAAGTAAATTAGAAGCTCTGCTTTTTATTTTTGGAAAGCAGGACCAATTAATATTTAATGTCTCAGCTGGAGACACAGCAGAGATGACCTTATGAAAGGTTGTAAATATATGAATAATTTTCAGTTCCAGAAGCTTGGGAGAGAAAAATGTCACCTGGCACAGTATAAGAAACCAGCTCCTTCTCTGAGCTGGAGCTGCTTTTCCCTGTGGCTCATGAATGTGACACAGGATGAATTATTGGTCCCACTTCTACA